GAATGTGTGTTGTTATCCCTCCTACATTGTGCCTTTATTTATAGGGGTAGAAGGAGAGAAGATATTCCTTATTCCCCAAGTAATACAAGTTGTAATAGGAAATGATAACTATAATCAAATCTAATCTAGGATTTACACAATCACATTTAAACTAGGAATGTTTACAACACTCCCCATTGAGTGTGTAAATACTCAAGGTAGATTTAGTATCATGCAGAAGTTGAGGAAGTCGACTCATCGGTACTAATTCCAAGGAACAACACTTATTCTCAATAAGGTAGGAACTTGCATAAGTAGTAAGTCTCACTAAAAAAACCCGAAGGCCATGGCAAAAACCCAAGGAGAGAGAAAATCCATAGTCTAAGGATAAATGCGTGAGAAATGTAAAAGTCAAAGAAATGTCTACGGGACGTCATCAGGGATATGACCAGCCCAAGGTGGGTGCCTCGTTAAAACCTAGTTAGGTAGCAAAAACCCAATGGGAAAAATGCTCCTAATCATAGGGAAAAAGAATACATTAAGATCAACACGTATCTACAAGATACTCCCCCTGAGTTTGACACAATTCCAAAGAGAAGTAGCAAAGTTACAACTCAGAAAGTTTATGCATACCAATTCCATGAACAAGCTTCTGAAACGTCGTCTTCGGCAGTGATTTGGTGAAGAGATCGACTACATTATCTTGTGAACAGATTTGCGTGACTTCAATCTTCTGATACTTTTGTTGTTGATGTGTAAAGAAGAACTTCGACGCAATGTGCTTGGTATTGTCTCCTTTGATGTAACCCTTCTTGAGCTATTCAATGCAAGTTGCATTGTCTTCAAAGATCTCGTCGGGATGACGATCACAGAAGCTTCGAATATGGCCCACTACTGCTTTCAACCAAAAGCATTCCCAAATTGCTTCATGTAAGGCGAGAATTTCAGCATGGTTAGACGAAGTGGCAACTAAGGTCTGTTTAGTTGACCTCCAAGATATTGTGGTGCCTCCAACTAAAAGACATAACTAATTTGAGAGCGCGCCTTGTGCGGATCAGATAAGTATCCTGCATTGGCATAACCAACAAGGCGAGAATCAACTCGAGGAGCATAGGGTGCGGCATCATTCGAGGATTCGTAGGGATAGAACAAGCCCAAATCTGTAGTACCCTTAAGGTAACGGAAGATGTCTTTCATGCCAGTCTAGTGTCTGCGTGTAGGTGCATTACTGTATCTTGCCAAAAGATTAACAGCGAAAGACATGTCGGGTCTAGAACATTGAGCTAAGTACAATAAAGCGCCTATCGCACTGAGATAAGGAACTTCAGGCTCCCAAATCTCTTCATCATCCTCCTTCGGACGGAAGGGATCTCGTTTTTCATCTAGCGAACGAACGACTATAGGAGTACTCGAAGATTTCGCTTTATCCTCATTAAAGCGGAGCAACACCTTATGGGTGTAGTTCGATTAATGTACTTGAATTACATCCGAACAATGCTCTATCTCGAGATCGAGACAGTATCGAGTCTTACTTAAATCTTTCATCTCAAATTTTGACTTCAGGTGCGCGACAGTTTTTTCGAGCTCTTCAGGAGTTCCGATAAGATTCATGTCATTGACATATACTGCAACAATCGCAAATCTGGAATGTGGTTTTTTAATGAACACACAAGGGCATAGTTCGTTGTTCACATATCCCTAACTAGTCAAATACTCACTCAGACGGTTATACCACATTCTTCCGGATTGTTTCAAACCGTAGAGTGAACGCCTCAACCGAATTGAGAGCATGTTCCGGGGTTTAGAAGTATTTGAACCAATCAATGCAAGTCCTTCAGGAACTTTCATATAGATTTCCGTATCAAGACCCCCATAGAGATATGCGGTTATTACGTCTATCAACTGCATATCTAGTTTTTCGGACACTACCAAACTGATAATGTAGTGAAAAGTAATCACATCCATAACAGGTGAATAAGTTTCTTCATACTCAATCCCGGGGCGTTGTGAGAAGCCTTGTGCAACATGACGAGCTTTGCAATGCACAATTTCCTTCTTCTCATTACGCTTCCGAATGAAAACCCATTTCTAGCCAACGGGCTTCACATGTGCAGGAGTAGGAGTTACGGGTCCAAACACCTTACGTTTCGCAAGCGAATCGAGTTCGACTTAGATTGCTTGTTTCTAGTTTGACCAATCAGTTCTACGTCGACATTCATCAATGGAACGTGGTTCAATGTTATTGCTCAACATGATCTCAGTAGCTACTACAAATGCTAATGCATCATCGACAATCATCTCATTTCTGTGCCACACATCATCTAAGCTAGCATAATAGACTGAAATTTCACAGTTCTCGAGAGGAGAATTCGTCTCTTCAAGGACGTTTCCATAATCTAGAATTTCCTCATGAGTTGGGTAGAATAAATAAGCGATAGTCGGATTCATGGTAGGTTATTCAGGACCTTGTGTCGTGGTGTTCCTCTTCTGGGGGTGTGAATCCTTTGAACCAAGGGGTCTGCCATGCTTTTGTGTAGGGGCGGATGATTGGCTAGCCGCTAATGTACGTGGATCACCAAGATTGGCGTCCCGGGCTTCTAGGAGGGCAGTTCGTCGTACATTTGGTACATCCATCTTTGTAGGCATATTCGTAGCTGGAATATGTGATCTTTAGAGATCTAATATGCGATGCACTTCAGTTTCAGACTGAACGATGCGAGGATCTAAATGAGACAAAGTGGGAGTTGTCCACAATAATTCGCATCGTTCTTCAGGAACGTTGACGTTCTTATCTCCCTCTAACGACAAGAAGATTGTCTCTTAGAAATGACAATCCACGAAACGAGTGGTAAACAGATCGCCTGTCAAAGGTTCTAAGTAACGAATAATTGAAGGAGAATCATATCTGACATAGATTCCCATCATTCGCTGAGGCTCCATTTTTGTACGTAAGGGCGGCGGGATCGGCACATATACCACATAACCAAAAATACGCAGATGTGATATGTCAGGTTCGTATCCAACAACCAACTAAAGGGCACTAAATGGTTGTGTCGCAACAGGCCTCAGGCGGACTAACTTTGATGTGTGCAATATTGCATGGCCCCAAGCAGCAATTAAGAGCTTGGTACGTATGACCAACGATCGAGCAATCATTTGTAAACGCTTAATGAAAGCCTTTGCCAGGCCGTTCTGGGTGTAAACATGGGGTACAGGATGTTCAACTTCAACCCCAACCGACATGCAATAGTCATCAAAAGTTTTAGATGTGAATTCTCCAGCATTATCCAATCGAATATATTTGATCGGATAATCAGGGTGGTAAGCCCTGAGCTTGATAACCTGAGCTAACATTTTGGAGAATGCAGCGTTCCTTGTGGACAACAAACACACGTGTGACCAATGTGTGGAAGCGTCAACCAAAATCATAAAGTATCTAAATGGTCTGAAAGGATGGTGAATCGGTCCACAAATGTCCCCCCTGAATCCGTTGTAGAAAAATGGGAGAATTCAAATGAATCTTGTCATAAGAAGGCTTAGTAATAAACTTTCTCATCGAACATGTTTGACATGCGATTCCTTGGATCGAACCTAAACTTTAGGTTAGTGGATGCCCATGTGAAGATTTGAGGATACAGCGCATCGCTATTCGTCCAGGATGTCCCAAACGATCATGCCAAAGTGTAATTTCGTGCGCGGTCCCAGTAGTAGGGCTGGCCACATAGTGGCATTCAATGAGAAGTATGGTCGTAGTATACAGACCACTCAGGATACGCTCTATCTTCTCTAGAATATGCTTCTAGCCATATTCGTAAGAAGTTATACATAGAAATTCAACTCCGTTTTCTACGTGGGTTTCAGCGTGGTAATTGTTGTCTCTAATGTCCTTGAAACTTAACAACGTTCTTCCTGAACATGGAGAATAGAGTGCCTCATAAATGGTCAAGATTGTACCATTAGACAACATTATACATTCCTCACCGTATCTTTCTTTCAGGTTGGATGGGCCTGAGAGGGTTGTCAGAGGTGAATTTTTAGGTATGAAGTTAGTGAAATAGATGCGTTCATGCAAAAAAGTGTGCGTGGTTGCACTATCTGCCAAACAACTAACTTTTCCACTAGTCATACCTAGAATGAAAAATTAATTTGAATCGGTCACTTGCATAAAAGTTTATAAAAAAAATTATCAATTCAAAATAATTTCATTTATTTAAGGATTAAAAACTTAATATCCAAAACAAATCACCAACTAATAATACAAACATAAAAGAAAATTGTTCAAAAATCAACCAAAAACAAAGGAGGGGTTCGGCCACTAGGTGGAATTCGACCCCAATTGTCTTATTTCAACTAAAAATTAGTCTATGTCTAAGATTCTAATCTTCCATAGGGGTGGTATCCGCCTTAAAATAAAAAACCTCCATCTTTGTAGTCTCCGGTTCGTCCACTTGCATGAAGTTTGATTCAAACTTCTTACGACGAGAATGATATTCATCTACAACATTCTTGGAAGCTCGGCAAACACGGGACCAATGGTCTTTTGAACCACAGCAATAGCACATGTCCATATCCATGGTTTCAAGTTCTTTGCCCTTATTCTTGAAGTTCGGGGCCTTGGAAGCGAGGTTTGGGCGCTTCTAGGCTTTGTTTCCTCCCTTGGATTTGCCTTGACTCTGCTGACCTTGGTGGGATGGTGTCACGCCCCAGACCCGTGCATTTTACCTCTGCAATGGTGGTTCGAATGTTTTAATATACAAATTAACCCCTGTAACTCAATCATCCCAATTTCCCCTTTTGTTAGTCATCTTGCCTAAACTCTTCATCACCAGTCCCGAATTACCCTTAAAGAATCTGTGCACTGTGGGCTTGCCTGAGACCTGGTACCTACTAAGAGTTTGGCTCAACTACACAAAGATCATTTCCAACTACCCTCATTTCCAATTCCTTCTCACCACTGAAACTCCAACCACACGACCAATTATGAATGATTCACAAATACTTTCATTTATCATTCACATATACCATAGTATATTCTCAACCAATCGCATTTCACCAATAATTCCATAACCAATAACAAGTAAACACGCAAGAGCAGTATTTGTCCAATTAGCAACCCATATCACATTAATCAACCAACAAGATCAATAATAATATAATGCTTCACGAAATTTAATAAAGCCAATCTCCGTAAAGGTCTGCCGTATTTCCCCTACCTGGATTCCAAAGCATTGCTCCGACTCTTTACTACAAGAGTCTACCTTCAGCAAATCCTATTCACAATTGTAAGCAATTACTAAAAAGCATGACATGAACTCTAACCCCAGTCAAATAACTTGGTATTACTAATTGAACACCAACCAATTTAAACGTCATTTTGGTTGATCTAGAATAGCTTGGTCATAACAAACTAAATGTTTGAATAAGTACAACTTTTAGAAAATCAGGGAGCATGTGAAATTCAAATATACATATGCATGTTTTCTTCTGGTATATAATTAAGAAAGGTGGCATTTTAAACCATGTATATGCATAATACAATTATTTCCAACTCCAAGACATATGCCTTACTTTATATATAATTGAAACTATTTATATCATATGTGTCTGTAGCTTGATAACAAGATAACAAGCTTGCATCAAGTTAGTAGATAACAGCTCTTTCCTCCGATTAGTGTATATATATAGTCTAATACTAATATGCTGCTTTATATATATAACTCGTTGAGAAATCAATTGACATATATACTTGAAGCGGTATTGCAAAAGATAGCAATATTGTAGGATTGGATTTTGTGAAGCTAATTTCATAAGAGCTATCACAACCAAACGATTCACTGTAAACTATAATAATACTAATACTTTCTTGTCTAACTCCATTCAATCACAACCCTAATTAAAAGCTCAGAAGCTCTACCATTTAGGTCAAAGAATTAGTACTTACCCCTCTGTGTCCGTGTTCCCCTCATACTGGCAGAAGGACATTAGTCCACCGTAATCGACCTTACTCCTTTATTTGATTCTTTCAAAACCGACTGACCATCATCAACACAGCAACTCTCTTCTCTTATACCTTAATTTGTTTGCCATCTCCGCAGACATCCAATTCAACCTTCATCTTAATTTCTTTTCTCATCCTCTCTCTCACTCGCTCACTTTCTCCAACCCAAAGTACCTTTTCCCTCTTCTCTTTATTCATCTCTCACTAGACTCGTTTCTTACTGGAGTTTGCAGCTCTTGAGGTCCCTATTTATACTTATACAATCCTTGATGATTACGCATCAGATAAATATATATAAAGGAATAGTCGGCAATTGGAGAGGAGGAGCTGTCGACTTGATAGAGAAGAAAAAATAAGGCAGCTACACCTAGCCAATAGATAAGGCTTGGGTTTTTTTTTATCATCATGCAAAGCACGAGCTACAAGTGTTCAATGATCAAAGTGAAGGGGGAGGTGTCACTCGAAAGGAAAGATGAAAACTGGTTTGCCACCTCCAAACTGGAGTGCTCTCCAAGTAGTCCTATGCTATAATTACTCATTCATTCTTTCAAATTACAAGCATGCCAGTCCCTTCATTTGGCCAACACGTTGACACCAACAACTAAATAAATTTGAAACATATATATTTGTCTATTTAATCAAAATTTCTTTAATTACTAAATAAAAATATTTAAATATAGGTCTTCACAGATGGCTTCTGGCCGCCCCTACCACGCCTCCTTTGGCGTTTTGGGCGTTGATGATTGCTATAATGTGCTTCAGGCATAGCAGTCGTCCCAGTAGGTCAAGCTTGATGATTCTTCATCAACAGCTGGTTCTGCTTTTCAGCGAGAAGTAAAACAGAGATCAAATTCGAGAACTTGGTGAACTTCTGAGCTTTATATTGTTGCTGCACGACAATATTAGAAGCAGAGAAGGTCGAATAGGTCTTCTCCATGAGATCCTCTTCAATCAAAGTTTCATTGCAAAACTTAAGAAGTGATTGGATTCGACAAACTTCAGAGTTCTATTCATTCAATGACTTAAAGTATTGGAAGCGCAAATGATGCTTGTCATGTCTTGCTTCAGGCAAGAATATGTCATTTTGGTGATAAAAATGATCAGCCAAAGCGACCCATAATGCACTTGGATCCTCCTCAGTAAGATATTCGGTTTTGCAGAGCATCATGAATATGTCTTCGGATGAAGATCATAGTAGTTGCTTTTTCAGCTTCGCCAACAGGCTCATTGTGGAGTAAAAAATAATCAAGAGGTGACATATGGATTTTTAGGTGAAGAGGACAAAATTACCCTCGAGACACACCGGGTTTCCTACACACAAGCAGTGGAGAATCATCCATCAACCGAGTCAAAAGTGCCCAAAATAGTTAACAAGTTCAAATTTATCTCATCCATCTTTACTCCATATCCTCTACAAGGAAATCATTCCATAACCTTCAAAACCTTCTATATAAATTAAATTAATTAGGCTAATTAATGGATTAATTCCAAATTAATCCATTAATCACCAAATTAATCACCATTACACCCCAAAAAACATCCAAGGGCCGGCCACTCTCTCTTCCAAAGAGGGCCGGCCATGCTCTATAAATAGGACTCCATTTTCTTTGAAAGACTAGGGCCACACTCTTGCAAAACTCCAAAAAACTCTCCAAACACTTTTCTCTCTAAATTCTAACTTTGGCATCGGAGGTTCTTCGGCCAAAGCCCCCCCATTCATTGAAGGTGCGTGAGGCTCTTGGCCTTGACCTAAGGTGTTAATTGTTTTTTTAGGTGCAATTTTGTCCAAGAAGAAGAAGGCGGAAATTTGCATCCACAAATTGGTGCTTTCATTGAGAGTTGAGTCCTACAGTCGTAGAAGACTCTCACATCAAAGGTTTTCTATTTTCTTGTCCATTTGTAGATTTTTCGTACGTTCTTATTATTAGAATATTTTATTTGCAAAAATTCTTTGATAAAACGTAAAAAAGAAGTACAATGGCTAGAAATTTAGAAAATTCAACAAATAAAAATTTCAACATTCAAGAGATGGGACCACGGCGATCTATGAGGCTAAATGTGACAATAGGTAGAACGGCACCACCACCACAAGTTTCCACCACGGGAACCATTGCGGTGGCTACCATGGTAGCCACCGGCGGCGAGGTCCATGGTGTCACCACCACGGCCCGAGCAGTGCCATCCAAGGCGGCTCACTGCACTAAGGCCACGGCCCAAGCCATGTCACTCCACGCCCAACGCGTTGCCAAGCCAAGCCCAAGCCTCGCATTTGCATGCATCATATGCTGAGCAGCTTACTCTTGCCGTACAGCCCACTCTTGTGGCCTAGCCTGCTCCTGCGGCACAGCCTGCTTCCGTGACATTCCAAGCAGCCCAAATCAGCCCAAGATTATCTCAACTATCCGAACCAATCATTGAGCCGGGGGCATTTTCACCATGTTTCTCCATCGATTTGACATTTCCCAATTCAAATCTCGCGCCTGGAGCTTACCACACTTCAATTGCTTAAGGAGGCATATTCCTTCCAAGCTCTTCTAATCCAAATGGCAAACAAAACTTGTCTCGATAAGTCATATAGTTGACGAACACCCTTGCATAACAGACAACCTTGGTGAATCAACTCTTGCAACGCATTGAGATCTAACGTGCCCCGGACGAGGTGTCCCGAAGAAGGACAAGGGCAGACGAACTTGTCCACTAACGTCCCGACAAGCAGCCACTTGACTAGTCACGAACCGAGCGTTCTAACGGAGTACACTCCTAATTAGACCCCTGAGATAACATATACTCCAGTCTTAACGCGTGGAGGAGCGTGCACTCTCAGTTAGGCCCACGAACAAACATACACTCACAGTTGGGGCCACACTCCGATAATCAACATGAGCAACCTTCCAGGAAAAGTGTTCATTCAACGCAAGGCCCGCAAGGAGCATCCTCCACCTCACATTGGAGTAGGCAGCACAGCGGATAAAGATAAGTAGTCACTCAATCCAGCTCAAGTTCAACCAGTAGCTTGTGAGTTACTCGCTCTATTGCTAGGAGCATACCACACTAACTGCAACCACGACATAGACGAACCGAACACATGGAATAGCAGGTCACGACCGGGGGTGGCCGAGGGCTCTGCCACCCCTAACAAAGGCAAATTCAGGAAGAAGCAGAAATACTCTTGAACGAACGATTGCGCGATTTCTCGCACAGCGAATCAATTGACAAGGCGCTTCGATAAGACATGACCAACATAAACAAGTCATCTTTCAATGACAAGATCGAGCAGACGGGACTACCCCATCAGCTCAGTCTAATGGCATGCCGGGGGCAAACGAGTACCAGAAGAACACACCAACCCAACTACCAAGAATCGAGGGCAGGCCTTGTTCTCAACACTCTAGACCATTCCTTCTGTTGCGCATAACCTGGCCCAAGCTAACCCTATCTCTGTTTTTATAACCACGCCTGTCTACTCCACGGCTCCTGGTAACCATTGATTATGCACCATGGCTCCCGGCCATGCCAACTTTTCCATGTGGCTCGTGCCAACCAAGCCTCAAAAAGGCACATGACGAAACACCTAATGATGGCACAATATTTCTAGGAGCAGCTCACTGCACTTGCACCCTTACGCGAGGTCCACAAGCAGTTTGAAGTCTCAAGCAGATCGCCAAACATGACCTCGCAGGCTAAGGATTATTTCGGTTGTCCCAGCAGTCCAGCTTTCCTCAGCTGCACTCACGACAACGACTTCCATGCTCTCCAGTGTGAGAGGATAAACTAATTGCTCTCTAGTGCGAGAAGGTAAACCAATTCTCCGACACCCGTATGGGTCTGCTCTCCAATGTGAGATGATAAACTAATTGCTCTCCAATGCGAGAGGGTAAACTAATTGTTCTCCAACACGTAAACTAATTGCTCTCCAGTGTGAGAGGATAAACTAATTGCTCTCCAGTGTGAGAGGGTAAACCAATTTCCCGACACCCATATAGGTATGTTCTCTAGTGCAAGAGGATAAACTAATTGCTCTCCAGTGCGAGAGGGTAAACCAAGTCCCCGACACCCGTATGGTGAGAGGATAAACTAATTACTCTCTAGTGCGATAGGGTAAACCAATTCCCCGACACCCGTATGGGTCTGCTCTTAAGTGCGAGAGGATAAACCAATTGCTCTCCAGTGCAAGAAGGTAAACCAATTCCCCAACACCCATATGGGTTTACGCTTCAGTGCAAGAGGATAAACTAATTGCTCTCCAGTACGAGATGATAAACTAATTACTCTCCAGTGTGATAGGGTAAACCAATTCTTCGACACTAATATGGGTCTACTATCCAGTGCAAGAGGGTAAACTAATTGCTCTCCAATGCAAAAGGGTAAACTAATTCCTTGACACCCATCTGGGTAAGCTCTCCAGTGCGAGAATGCCATATAACTTAAAAGATCAAATGCTTGAAGATCAACTAGGAAGTAAATGGTTAGGAGGCAACAACCACTTTGCACTTAACAATTCACTCATCCGACACTTCATCTTTAGCAGCTTCGATCTTGGCAGCTTTATCCTTGACTGCTCTATCTACGGTAGTTGAGATATCAAACTCAAGCAGTTTCCTCATTTTTTGCAAAGCAACCCAGACATGGCAGCCTAATCCGTTGCCCATGCCACGCAACTTCCTCGGCCCATGCCGAGCCAATCATTGACTTCAATCAAGCCGAGCAGCACAAGCAATGGCCGCTGCCATACCACCTCCTTAGCCCATGACGAGCCGACTCCTGGCCCCTGCCAGCTGACGTGTCGTATCACCCAGACAGCTGCCCTGTGGCAGCACCTCCCAAGAAGAAGACAAGGAGAATTAAGTTTTCTTTACATCGGTGCGGCGCGGAAAAGACGAAGAAAGCGACGAAAGACGGTCATTTGCATGGGTAAGTGTAGAAGATTGCTAGAGGAAGGGAAACAAATATCCTCTAAGCTTTCTCTCTCTTATAGGGTATAATAAATCGCTCTCCAAAGTTGATTTAACAACCTACTTAAGGTGGACTTAAATAGGCTTTCAGAGAAATTTATTTCCCTTTCCTAGAAGGATTTAATTTCATATTAAAGAGGGAATCTACATCAAAATATGAAGCAGTCCTAAAGCAAGAAGATCTCTACACCTGCTGCCCTTTCCTATGAGCAGCCCAACAGGTATAGGGGCATTTGTGGAATCAAAAATATGTTGGAAATGTACCCTAAAACCAATCATATGATGATACTTTACGGACATTTCACAAAGTT